GTGGGAGGTGGGAGGGGAGCCTGGGGGCCCTGGCGAGCCTCCCGGCGGCGGAGACCCCGGTGGGGGTAGCGGGGGGGTCCCGGGAGGCCGAGGGAAGCAAGACATCGGGGACATTCTGCAGCAGATAATGACCATCACCGACCAGAGCCTGGACGAGGCCCAGGCCAAGTGAGTGCCCCCACCCCGGGAACCCACACAGATCCACAGGTGGGAGGGGAGCCTGGGGGCCCTGGCGAGCCTCCCGGCGGCGGAGACCCCGGTGGGGGTAGCGGGGGGGTCCCGGGAGGCCGAGGGAAGCAAGACATCGGGGACATTCTGCAGCAGATAATGACCATCACCGACCAGAGCCTGGACGAGGCCCAGGCCAAGTGAGTGCCCCCACCCCGGGAACCCACACAGATCCACAGGACCCCGTTCACAAGCTGAGTCTTCTGGGACCCCCCCACCCCAGCTCCAGAGCCCTCAGCGCTCTTCTCTTCCGACCCGGGGATCCCCTAGCAGACTGGTTCCTCTTGGACACCCTTTTCATCCCCTGGCCCAGAACCCTGCACTGAGAGAACCCCAGGTGGTCCCTCTCCCCTTCCGAGCTCCAGACTGGAAACTGTTCTGGGCGGAGGTACTCTTCTCCCCTCCACCCCATTCTCTCCAGACCCGGGCGTCAGGGCCCTCCCAGAGCTCCCAACACTCCTGTCCTCCAGCCCTCTCCACCCTCCCTGCCCCACCAGCGCCCTCCATGTGCACTCTACCCAGCTCCCGCTCCTGTATTGGGCATGTTCCTAAAACCAAATGAGTCGTTCTCCGTTTAGGGTTAAGATGTACATATGGATTCTCTCTCTCTCTCTCTCTCTCTCTCTCTCTCTCTCTCTCTCGTCACCCTCATTTCTTCTGTCACTCACAAAACCTTCCACACCTTGCCCCAGCGTGGCAGTGCCTTCAGCCTGCTGCCTGCACCTTCTGTGCTGAGGCTGACTACTTCCCAGGAAGCTTCCCCAGGTCCCCCAGCCCCGCTTTCTCTTCTGTGGGTTCACCCAGACTCACCCTGTACCCTCATGCTCCCCTCGTTTCTCCAGCTCAATTTTGCTTTCCCCATTCCCATTCCTCCCAAGGAAACACGCCCTAAACTGCCACCGAATGAAGCCTGCTCTATTTAGCGTCCTGTGTGAAATCAAAGAGAAAACTGGTACGTGGGTCCCCCTCTGACCCCTCAGCCGTGGGGATAGAACCGTGCCCACCACAGGGCTAAGAGTTTGACAACTTGGGGCCCTGAGGAAAGCGGGAACCTTGGGGAAGGCTGCTGAGCGGACTGGGACAGACCCAAGGCTGGAAACCTGGGTCTTCAGAGCGAGTGCTGGGTGCAGGGAGGTACCGAGGTCTCTCTAAGTCCCTTTGCTTGCTAGGCCTCAGCATTCGGAGCTCCCAAGAGGAGGAGCCAGTGGACCCCCAGCTGATGCGCTTGGACAACATGCTTCTGGCAGAGGGTGTGGCCGGGCCTGAGAAGGGGGGGGGCTCGGCCGCAGCTGCTGCCGCGGCGGCAGCCTCGGGGGGTGGTGTGTCCCCTGACAACTCCATCGAGCACTCGGACTACCGCAGCAAGCTTGCCCAGATCCGTCACATCTACCACTCAGAGCTGGAGAAGTACGAGCAGGTGAGGCCGGCCCGCTGGGGGGAGTCCCCCGGCCACAGGGCTCCTCCTCACCAGCCCCCCACCGGGTGTCCCTGGCCCAGGCCTGTAACGAGTTCACAACCCACGTCATGAACCTGCTGCGGGAGCAGAGCCGCACGCGGCCTGTGGCACCCAAGGAGATGGAGCGCATGGTGAGCATCATCCATCGGAAGTTCAGCGCCATCCAGATGCAGCTCAAGCAGAGCACCTGTGAGGCCGTCATGATCCTGCGATCCCGCTTCCTGGATGCCAGGTGGGGCTCAGGGATCTGGGCTGGGCACCTTCCCACTCTGCATGTTGCACACCGCAGATCTCTGTGACAGTGCTGCCCTCTGGAGTTGTGCCACAGGGCAACCCTGCTGGGACACCAACTTCCCCTCGTCCCCTCCCGCCACCTCTGTAGACGAAAACGCCGCAACTTCAGCAAGCAGGCCACAGAGGTCCTGAACGAGTACTTCTACTCCCATCTGAGTAACCCGTACCCCAGTGAGGAGGCCAAGGAGGAGCTTGCCAAGAAGTGCGGCATAACCGTTTCTCAGGTACTGTGGGGTTTCCGGGAGGAGTTTGGGGGCCCTGGGACTCCCTCCTGAGGGAAACGTTTCCACCTGACCGTCTGTCCCACATCCCGCAGGTCTCCAACTGGTTTGGCAACAAGCGGATTCGCTATAAGAAAAACATTGGAAAGTTCCAAGAGGAAGCGAACATCTATGCTGTCAAGACTGCTGTGTCAGTCACCCAGGGGGGCCACAGCCGCACCAGCTCCCCGACACCCCCTTCCTCTGCAGGTGGAGCCCGCTGCCACCCTGGCTGCTTTGCACACTTCCTGCTTTTGTTCCCACTTCCTGTCTAGGCAGGATCGTAGCAGAGGGAGGACTTTTGGGGTGAGAAGGACCAAGCTGAGATGGGGTGGTGATGTCAGGAGAAGCTGCATCTGCTCTTCCTCCCGTGGGTGGCGAGGGGCAGCTCCGGAACAGCCTGCTTTTGCTGACTGTTGGAATGCTTTGTGGATGACTTGTGTGTAGCAGCACTTTCATCGCCACGGAACTAGCTTACAGGGCTTTCTGGAACCAGCGAGTTGTGCTCATCTCCTGCCTGCCATCACCGTCTGTTACACTCTTCCCTAATTCCTTCCCTCTCCCCCTAAGGCTCTGGCGGCTCTTTCAATCTCTCAGGATCCGGAGACATGTTTCTGGGGATGCCTGGGCTCAACGGAGATTCCTACTCTGCTTCCCAGGTCAGACCCTGTCAAGACAGACACCTGTCCCGAGCCGCCTCCCCTAGGGTGCGGGATCGGAGGGCTTCTCCCTGTCACACCCTGGTCTGCTGCCCACAGGTGGAATCACTGCGGCACTCCATGGGGCCAGGCAGCTACGGGGATAACCTCGGGGGAGGCCAGATGTACAGCCCTCGGGAAATGAGGGTGAGTGTCTGGCTGTCGCCAGCAGGGGGCTTTTTCTCCCCAGTGTTGCCTCCACATTGGGGTTCCCACCCAGCAGGCACCCTACCCCCACTCTCCCCCTCCTTTTTTCCAGGCAAATGGTGGCTGGCAGGAGGCTGTGACCCCATCCTCAGTGACATCCCCAACAGAGGGACCAGGAAGTGTTCACTCCGACACCTCCAACTGATCTCTCCCCTCAGGGCCACGGGTGGGGGCTCTCACAGGCAACTCATGAAGAGGACGCAGGCATCCGGAGGAAAAGCCCCAAACCGGAGAAGCACAAGACAGAAGGGGGAACGGGGCGGCCGGTCCCCTCCGCAACTAGACTGTCATTGCTGGGGTGCTGACGCCGTGGCAGGGAGAAGTGGGGTCTGTCTTCCGTTTTCCCCGTCCTTCTGTCACCCTTTCTCTTACACACACACACACACACACACACACACACACACACACACGTTTCCCAGACCTCGCTCTTGTCCCCCTCCTGCCCACATGCCGCTCCTGTTCTCTGTTTTTGGGGCCTTCTGTCACCCTTTCTCTTACACACACACACACACACACACACACACACACACACACACGTTTCCCAGACCTCGCTCTTGTCCCCCTCCTGCCTACATGCAGCTCTGCTGTTCTCTGCCCCTCCCCACCCCACTCACACAGTCTGGAATCTGAAGATGTCAGCCCTGCCCGACCCAGAGATGCCAAAAATGGGGACTTGACTTCTGGACGGAGGACGCGGCTGGCCCCCAGTGCACCCACCCTGCCCCTCCAGACGGCTTTATTACCTCATACGCAGCTCATCTTAAACCAATAGAATCGCTCGGTGGACGAGAGTGTCTGACTCAGATATCTACCTCGGAGGGAGTTTCTGCTACTTTAGGGAATTGTTGACTGGACTTTGGGGTTGAACTTTTTTTCCCTTTTTTTAAAGAAAAAGAAACCTTGGGATCCATCTGTATTTTTTTCTTTTTTTGTCCCTGTTGGTTAATTTTTAATTTAGTTTGGGGAAGTAGGGTTTTTTTAATAAACATACTGATTTTTTTTTCTTGCTTTCCCATATTAGAGGTGATAGATAGCCAAAGGGGTTCTGGTAAGAGGAAGGGGAACCAATAGAACTGGTAGAGGCTCGGGCCTGACCCCCAGGAAGTGACTGTAGGACACCAAGCCCTTCCCTCTAATCACTTCCGTGTCACTTGGCACAGACGCCGGGAGTTTACCCTGCTGGCCACCTGGCCCCTCTCTTCCTATGGCCCAAAGGCCGGGCTGCACTCAGTACTGAGGAAGTTGAAGATGCCACCTTCCCTGTGTGATGTCTGTCAACCTTTTTTTTGTTCAAACTAGTATTTGCAGATTGGAGGAGAAAGAATGAGGAGGGGATTCTTGCCAAACATGTTAAATGTGGGTTGGGTGCTTATATGTATCTCCTTCAGTTTCCCCAGAAATGAGGCATTTTTAAATATTTTCTCCAAAATCAAGGTGGGTAGAGGAGGGAGATTGCAAAAAGCCACATACAGGGGAAAAGTAAAAACACTGTCCCATCCTCAGCCCTGAACCCTGTCTGATCCCCCTCAAACACCCTCAGGATTTTATCGGACTGTCAGAGTGGGATTCCCTCCCCTCAAAGATCCGGGCAGGATTGGGGGACAGGTTGGGAAGGTGATGGGTGGGGGGTGGGAGGCACGGGCCAGGGGCAGTTCTCTCCTCTCTTGTAAACTTGTAGTTTCTCAGAAAAAAAGAAACAATGCAGTTTTAAATAAAGAAATTTCTTTTTTCCCTGGGTTTAGTTGAGAATTTTTTTTCAAAAAACACGAGAAACCCTAGAAAAATGTTTTTCTCTTCACAAATTCCCAGCAGGTTTCTCCCGTCCCCCAGCCTTGTCCTGACCACACAGGCCCCACGTTCACCCTGGAGACAGCCTGGCCTGAAGCCTGTAGCCTAGCAAGCTCCGCCCAGTCAAGATGGGGCTTCAGGCAGCCTTCCTGGTGGGACTGACTGGCCGTGGAGGGAACGAGGCCCTAGGAGGTGCCCTCTCCACCCCCAGGAAGTGGCTGTGCCCAGAGACTGGCAGTGCCCAGGGTGGGATGAGAATTTGTAGCACCTGAAGGGCTCTTGTGGAAGAGGCACGAATTCCTAGCATTCCCTGTGATGGGACAAGACGGAGGTGGGGGCAAGGGAGAGGGCACAAGCCCCACCTAGGGCGGTGGTCACAGCAAGGGAAGGGGCAGACAACCAGGAGCCTGGGAGGTGAGCGGGATGGCAGCACGGGCAGCGGCAGGAGCCTGGGTGCTGGTCCTCAGTCTGTGGGGTGAGCACTCCCTACGGAAAACATCCCACTCTATCTCCCCAGAATTTCCTTAGAACCTGGGCGCTGTGAAGGCTCCCTCACCCACCCTTTCCCAGGAAGCCCTGGCTCCCTTCCTGCCCCTACCATGGTCCTTTCCCTCAGGAGCAGCAGCAGTAGTGGGCAGCCAGAACATCACAGCCCGGATCGGGGAGCCACTTGTGCTGAACTGTAAGGGGGCCCGTAGGAAGCCACCCCAACAGCTGGAATGGAAACTGGTAAGCAGGGCTCCTCAGCCTCCCAACTTCCAGAGACCTGTGATGCTGGCACCCACTGCCGTGCCTCGGCAGCCCTGTCCCAGAGGACGTGAGCGGCTCAGGACCTTCTCTGTCTCCAGAACACAGGCCGCACGGAAGCGTGGAAGGTCCTCTCTCCCCAGGGAGGGCCCTGGGACAGCGTGGCTCACGTCCTCCCCAACGGCTCCCTCTTCCTTCCGGCTGTTGGGATCCAGGATGAGGGGACTTTCCGGTGCCGGGCAACAAACAGGCATGGAAAGGAGATCAAGTCCAACTACCGGGTCCGAGTGTACCGTAAGGGTTCTTTCCACCTAAAGCCTTCTCTCCAGCCCTCAACTCCCGGCCCCTGCCATGAGGACCTGACTTCTGTCATCCCCCTTCCCACATCTGGATGCGAGAGCCTTCAAAGCAGCAGCCTATGACTGGATTCTTCCCTCCTCAGAGACTCCTGGGAAGCCAGAAATTGTAGATCCCGCCTCGGAACTCACAGCCGGCGTCCCCAATAAGGTAGTGGGAGAAAGTGGAGAATCAGAAAGGAGTCCCGTGGATATGGCTGCGTCTGGTATCTCGCATTTCCAAAGGATGATGAGATCACCGCTCTTCCCCAGGTGGGGACGTGTGTGTCCGAGGGAGGCTACCCTGCAGGGACTCTCAGCTGGCACCTGGATGGGAAGCCCCTGATGCCCGATGGAAAAGGTGAGCCCCAAATGCTCCACGCCAGCTGCCTTCTTCCTGCTCTCTCCACACCCACCGGGCTTCTCCCCTCACGCCCCCCACTGTAGGAGTGGCTGTGAAGGAACAGACCAGGAGACACCCGGAGACCGGGCTCTTCTCTCTCCAGTCGGAGCTGACGGTGACCCTGGCCCGGGGCGGGGCCGCCCGCCCCACCTTCTCCTGCAGCTTCGAACCAGGCCTTCCCAAGCGCAAGGCCCTCCACGCCGCTCCCATCCAGCCCAGTGTCTGGGGTGAGCAAGGGGGCGAAGTTCGGTTCCTGGGGAGGCAGGGCTCGAGCCCACGGTCCCGGGACCAGTGTCATGCCCTCCCCGTCCGCCAGAGCCTGTGCCCCTGGAGAATGTGCGGCTGGTGGTAGAGCCAGAAGGCGGAACAGTAGCACCTGGAGGGTCAGTGACACTGACCTGTGAGGCCCCTGCCCAACCCCCTCCAGAAATCCACTGGGTGAAGGATGTGAGTGGCCTGCAGGGGCGGGAGGGAGCCCTTACTGGCAGGGAGAGAAGAGCAGAGGCTAATGAGGGCGGGTGGGCAAGGAGCTGAGCAGAAGACAGGGTATCTGAGGCCGTGGAGACAAAGACAAAGGCAAAGGTGGGGAGCCGTGATCTGGGGCTTGATGAAGGTCTCCTCCTCTCCTCCAGGGAGTGGCCCTGTCCCTGCCTGCCAGCCCTGTGCTGCTCCTCCCTAAGGTACGGCCCCAAGACCAGGGCACCTACAGCTGTGTGGCCACGTATCCCAGCCGCGAGCTCCAGGAAAGCCCTGCCGTGAGCATCAGCATTGGAGGTGAGGCTCCCTGCATACAGGGACCCTGGGGCCAGGCTGAGGACACAGCAGGCTCCAACTCCCTACCCCATCCGGCACTGTCCCCAAGAGCCACCCCACCCTCCCACAGTCACCCACACCCAGGCCTCCTGCACCCCATCGGAATCAACCTAGCCTCTCCCTCTGAACTAAAGACTGCGCCTGGGGTCCCACAAACAGCCTTCTCCCGATTGAAGCCTTTTTCCACCCTGACTTGCTCCGAATTTGTCTTCCAGAAACAGACGAGGAGGGGCAAACCACAGGTGAGGGGCTGGATTAGTCAGAGACGCAGACAGTGTGGCAGGGGAGCGACCAGAAAGGAGTGGTGAGTGGCACGGTGGTGCCCTCAGTTTCCCCGTCTCCCTGCAGGCTCTGTGGGGGGCTCAGGGCTGGGAACTCTAGCCCTGGCCCTGGGGACCCTGGTAGGCCTGGGCATAGCTGCCCTGCTCATTGGGATCATTGTGTGGCGGAGGAGGCAACGCCAAGGAAAGCAGAGGTGAGTGAGGAGAGCCAGCACCTCAGCCTTGGGGCTTCTGGGCAGCGAGCGAGAGGCTGGGGGCTGAAGAGAGAAAGGTGCCGGGCACCACATGTGGAATTCTCCCCAATCCTCCTCAGGAAGGCACCGGAGAGCCAGGAGGAGGAGGAGGAGCGCGCGGAGCTCAACCAGGCAGAGGAGCCCGAGACAGCCGAGAGCGGCACGGGAGGGCCATGAGGTCCCCGGGCAGACCGGGCCATCAGCTCCCTCACCTTCTCGCTGGACCGCACCGGCCCCAGGCCAGCCCTCCCATCAGCTCTCCCTACCTCACCACACTTCCTCCCACAACCAGAGCACTTCATGAACGACCATGCCAAGTAAACACCTGACACATCTTGCCCATGTGCAGTGTGTGCGCGTATGTGTGTGTGTGACAGACTGAAAGACAAACTCACCTACTGCACCCTTGAGAGCTGCAAAGGACGGGGGGTCACCGCATACATCTCCGGAGGTTGGGGAGATGAGCCTTCTGTTCTAGAAAGAACTTGGAAAAGTCCTCACCGATACATTTCACCTTTTTTTATTGAATTTGTAATAAAGGAGGTAGTGGGAGGGGTGAACACTTAGAATCACAACCCATATTAGATACTGGGGAGAGAAAAATTAAATTAAATCAACAAGAGAAAGAGAGAGTCAGGAGCCTTGCCCACCTTTCAACATCAAATCAAGGAATCTGAGGAAAGCCAAGGATTAGGAGAGAAGACAGACAGACACTCCCTTCTGTCTGTCCTCATCATGACTGGGGCTGAGAGCGCTGGGCTCTCTTCTTGTCACCCCTTCTCCCCACACCCTCCCAGGGAGCGACCAGGCTTAGCCTTGGCCAACAAAACCGGAGGGTTGGGGTCGGGGATCAGAAGTAAGCAAGGGTCAGCAGAGACCCCCAATACTGATTCTCCTCTGGCTGGGAGGCGGGCAGGAGGGAGACACAGCTCAAATACTGAGCAGCCAGAAAAAGAAGAAGATGGCGAGAAACAGGAAAAGAGAATCCTGCCAGTTGGAGGCTGGGTGACCCTGTCCCAGATCCACACCTGTGGGGGAGAAAAAGACAGCTGCGGAAGCACGTACTCCTACACCAGGAGGGGAGCTGGGGGCTCTGAGCGGGGCCGCCAGGAGGGATGAGGGAGGACTCTTACCTGACCCCCTGCGGAAAGGCTCATGGATATTGAAGACCGTAGTGAAAAAGCCGAAGGGGAAAGCACCGACACCAAATGAGAAGTGAAAGCCCCCAGTGTCACCAAACGGCTGGAACCCCTAGGGAGGCAGGAAGGTCAGGGAAACCGGGCACATCCTTGTCAAGGAAGGTACACAGCTAGCCAGGAACTCACCCCTCTGCTCTCAGGAGCCGGTCGCTGACCCTGGGGACGGGGTGGAGTTTTCAATCTGAGGGCCAAAGAGGAAGACCATTAACACGGAATCCTCTCTCCTCTTCCGCCCTACCTTTCCACCCTACCCAACCAAGCAACACCTCCAGTGTCTCACCTGGGATCCTGGGGCTTCTGGCTCCCTCGCCCATACAGCGGGACGACCTTCTCTCTGCTGATGCCAGCTTTGCACACTGGGCACTCTTGCCGGTCTGGCCGTGTCTCCAGCCACTGGGGAGAAAAAGATAAAATGGCACAGACAGGTCTTCCAGCTCCTCAGACCACCCCATCCCTCTCTTCACCTCCTGAGTACACACCTGATGCAGACAGGGCCAACTGGATGAGAGGCAAAGAAAAGAAAAAGAGAAAGGAAAAAAAAAAAGAGGTCAAACTAGCTACAGCAGAGAGGCGCGGCTCTCAGACGTCACAGAATGTCACCTCACCTCTCCCCAGGTACTGTATTGTCTGCTCTTTCCTTCTATATTTTCTGCAGCCTCTACCATGCCAGCCAACTTGGCCTTCCTGCTTCTCCGACCTTCTAATAAAGCTCCACGCATCCTCAACACACTCAGCCCTCTCTTCACCCTCTCCCGACACAAATGCGCATTCCCTCCCTCTCTGCCTTCCAACTTAATTTCCAATTATCTTCAACCCACTCCTGTCCAGGTCTCTTTCAGCCCCAGCCCCACTGTCACCCCCTTCTCTCCAAACCAAACCCCCTTTCCCAGCACCTTCTCCACTGCTCCTTTTCCTCTCGCTTTCAAGCTTATTAGAGTCCCGGTTTCCACGACCTCAATTTTGTCCCTCCGTAGGGCCCTTACCCAGATCCGCCTCCGTTACCCCTCGCCGATCTCACCTGTGTATGAGCCCATGTGCCCTGGGTCTCCCCTACTCACCTGATGCATGCCCCTCCTAACCTTCGAGTCTCATCCGTTTCTACTTGTACAACTAAGGAACTCTAACTTCTCTGGAGTAAGCTGGTTCGGGTCTCACCTGTACAGATGTTCAGTGTCCCCTTATTCTCCATCCCACTTCCTCCTTAGAACACACCGCATACGAACCACCTAATTCCTAAGACCCCCATTTTCACACATCTGCTCAGACTTGATCCACCCACCCACCCACACGTACCAGAGAAGATACACACACCTCCCTTCCTCAGGGCTCCCCTATGGGATGTGCCCTCCGATTACCTGTATGATAATGATCCTACGGTCACCCCGCTCCTGGCGGCCCCACTACAAAGATGAACCCCACCGCTTTCAGCCCCGTCCCAGATTCTCACCAGTACAGGTGGCCACACACACTGACCACAGCTTCCCGAGCGGTCTCCAAACATATATTACATTCGAAGGTCGCGCCCGCCCCGCCCCGCTCGCCGTTTGGCCCTTCGGGGCCCCCGTCCTCCTCCTCTGCTGCTGCCATGGCCGGTTCTGTTTCGCCCCAGCGTAGCCCTCAGTCCCCCGAAACAAACCTACACACGCCCCAACAAACGAGAGACTGCCTCCTGCCCACGGTCATTGGGCAGGCTTCAAGGTTTTCTAGATCCTATTGGTCTGGATACCTGCCAATCATGTAGTATTCTAAAGAAAGGATTGGTCCAAAGGATGAGGGCGGGAAAAGGCTTGCACGGCCCTGCCTTTGCACAATGGTTACTGGCTGGTACAATCACGCTCAGCATGATTGGTAACAACTCGTTGTCCTGGCTCTGTCGCCCGGCCAGCGAGAGTTTCATTCGTCTGAGTAGCTGCCAGTTATAAGCAAAGACCAAAAGCAATTGGTTCGGGACCCCATAGATCTCGCCCCCTCCAAAGTCCTCTCTTTCCTTCACTTCCTCTTTTCGAAGAATGTCCGGATTCTTATTGGACTTCAGAGTGTACGGCTCCAAAGCAAGCGATTGGCTGGGACTCCAAGGAAAATGGTGGTTAGATGAAATGCGCCTGCGCGGCACACAGCGACCCTCCGTAGGCCAATTTGTGAAGGTTGAACCTTCTGTGATCCCACCCCTTCGCCTCTATCTTGTCGCCATGGTGACTACAATTGGCTGGGCCTCATCCGGGTCCTCCAGTGATGGACTCTCTTGGCTGATTGGGCCGTTTCCTTCGCTTCTGATTGGCCGAGAGAGGGAAAGACGGCGCAGAGCTCGGAAAAGAAGAGCAGAAATACTGGGGTCTCAGGGTTCAAGATGGCTCCGTCCTTCTTAGGTGATGTAGGGGACAGAGCCTGGGCCCTCCCCTCCCTTTTAGTGAAGAAGGGAGCAGAACGAGAATTAGCCCTACGTCTGGACGGTGCGAGCATCGATCTGCGGCGCCGGTTTTAACCCACCTCCTCGGCTGAACAATTCAGCCGATCCTCCTTAGGTGACTGAGCAAGACTGAACTGTAGCCCCCCCTACCCACTTCTTCATGTGACACTGAATAGAACAGAGTCAGCCTCGACTCTGCTAAACTGTAAGAGCAGAGAAGGTCTGGTCCACGCCTTCAGGAGAAAGCGCAGAGTGGGCAAGGCCCGGCCCTTTTAAGTGACCTGAGCCAGAACAGTTCCGCCCCTTCCTTCTTGTAATTTGCCCAGTAGAGCTGGGGTCCCCCTGGGCTGGACCCCTAGGAGCTTTGGCCTTTCCTAGTGTCAGTGATCCTCGCTGTGGTTCAGGGATCAGAACTGAGTAACAATCATTCCACTGCCAGTGTTCTTCCCATCCTTTCCTCCAGGGTTTGTAAACTCATGCAGGGGAAAAGTGTGTCTGGGGCAGGAGGTTGTCACAGGCTTACAAATGCTCAGCAACAGCCTGATGAAAGGTCCCATTTGACTCAAGAGTAAGAAAAGAAAGGGCTGGGGTTGTAGCTCAGTGGTAGAGTGCTCGGCTAGCATGCATGCGGCCCTGGGTTCAACCCCCAGTACCACACAATCTGGGGCAGGAGGATCGCTGTGAGTTCGAGACCAGCCTGGGCTACACAGTGAGTCCAGGTCAGTCTCAACTACACAGTGAGACCCTGTCTCGAAAAGAAAGAAAAAGATGAAGCCGGGCGTGGTGGTGCACATCTGGAATTCCAATGCTCGGAAGGCTGAAGCATGAGGGTCGCCGCGAATACGCTGTCCTGAAGAAAAAATAGAAGAAACATAGAAGATGACAAATGGGGAGTTGCGTGGAGGCTGGGAAATAAGACTCAGATTTAGGAAAGAAGATACTGAAGTGGAGAAGAGGAGGAAGGAGGAGATAAGGGAATAGGAGCAGGTAATGGGAACATGAAAAGGGGAGCGGGGACGGCAGAGCTGAACACAGAGCTACAAAACGAAGGACGCAGTCACCAGGAATCCACCTTCTCCCCTACCCCACGGAAGCAATGCCTTGACGCCCAATTTCCATTTCAAGAAAAGATCCATCCACACATTCCCTGTTGAGGAGAGGGGGTGCTTTAGCTTGAGTAAGGCGGCTTCCAGGAAGGAACTGGGCAAGAAAGCGGTGCATCAGCGCGGACGGGAACTGGAGCTGGGGTGGGCCAGAGAGTGGGTGACTGGAGGGAGGCGGGCTGCAGGGACCTGTGGGGGAAGGTTGGGTCCAAAGGGCAAAGGGATCCGAATAGAGTGCTGGAGGGCGAGGTGGGGAGAGATGGAGTCCTGAAGGAGAAAAGGCGGAACTTCGTGCTTGGAATATAGTAGGTGCTGGATAAAAGGAATTCAATGGGGGCAAGAAACGGGTCTTGAAGAGTTGAACGGACCCAGTACAGATCCTGGGATCCGAGACAAAGGAAGAAATCAGAAAGGGACGGAGGAAACGTGGCAGTACGGGGAGAGCTGGTGGAGAAGCAGAAAAAGGAATGCGTCCAAGGAGGAATACAGCGGCAGCAGGGGGCTCACAGCCATTTGTTATTGAAAGGATTGGGAGGAAAAAAAGATGCAGCTGGAGCGGAGGCCGAAGCTAGCCGAGCTCCCGCGGGGCGGAGCTAGCAAGAGTAAGCGATGACTAGGGCGGAGACGCGGGGGTCCCTCAGAGCCGATTGGCGCAGCGGGCCGCCCATCATCACCTCCCACTTCCTGGCCAGCCCCGGAAGCCAGCGGTGCTGGGAGGGGTGGGAGATAGCGGTAGCGGCTGCCCCAACCCTCAGAGACAGCGGGAAGGG